GAGCATCAATTTGTTGCTGAGTAAGGGCCTCAGCATTTCTGCTCCAGTAATGCAAGGACAATGCAACCAGCTTCCATTTATCTTCAAACTGGTCCAATTCATCTGGCGAGACTTCAAATATATTGCAAAGCAGTCCAAGTCTCTCTTCATCTCTTAGCGTGTCTACATCTGTGATTAGGCACTGAGCTGCAAGTGGTCTGACTGGCTTAAACTGTATATCGTGCTGACCTATGCGTATTCCTTCTTTGACTTTTTGTACCTTTAGATAAGGTTTCAATAAGCCATACAAGTGTCTTCTCAGAGGCTCGCCAATCTTCATATTGGACTCCTTTTTAGGATTATCAATGATCATTGGTAGAATACATTCATTGAGAATCATTGGATCCAGTACTGAAGTTGAGAAGCATCCATCACGATATTGCTCGAGTATCCATGAAGGCAGTGGTGTCCCATTGGCTGTCTTTAATTCTGTGTTCTTTCTGGCAACATCCATACTTATTTCATGAATGCTATACATATCTTTTGCCTTGTCAAAGTTTTCTCTGATAGCCATCACTTGCTCTGACTTGCAGGAGCTAGAGAGGTAGGAGAGGAATTCTACAACGGATGAGAAAGAAGCAATGCAAGCAACCAATTCATCACTATAAATAGTATGACCTCTCCTGCCTCCTGCCTCTGCCCCTCCATCAATAACCGAGGTTATTACATCTCGTCTTATTTCTGGAGACTTAAGGAAATCATTGCCAATCAGTGCCGGTATCAGGTAAATAATCTCAGGGTCACGAAATGTTGCAGAAAAATTGCTTGAATGGTAAATTTTTCCGTATATTGGTTTTGACTCCCAGTAGAAGTATTCAAAAGGAATGTAACCGCCTTTAACATTGAAAATGTAATAATCGGAATCGCTAGAGAGAACCGGGCAGCCATAAAAGTTTGCTATGGACGCAGTCAAATTATCTGCATCTCCATCAGCAACGATAAAGGGAATCCTAAATTCTTTTAGTACCTCCATAAAGACTACTTTAGCAAAGGCTGGCAAACATGAACGACCATCTTTGGGATAACTACCATATAAAAGGCAGGACGAAACGCATTCTGTTGTCTCCTTTCTCCTCTTCAGAATGACTGGGCCTTTTTCTCCTTCGTAATCCACACCATCAAACACAAGAATAGGCTCTATACCTGATTCTTTTAGGTTGGTCAAGAAAGCCCTGCATTTCTGATCAAGCTCTTCGTACTGGCCGCCATATTTCCAGTCTATCCCATCATAGAGAGAGTAACAGCAGCTCATGGCGTCTATCAGCAAAGGGCCTGTTAGTGGAGGATCTTTTCCTATCTCTTTCCATTTGTAATTCTTTTTAATGT